ATAATAAATATATCTTATTCATAAATATAAATATATAAAAATGTTCTTCTGTATTTCTTTCATGCTAAAGTATTATCGAGTATTGCTCAAGTATTATTGCACTTATGGTAAATAATCCTTCTTGGCTCTTCATTGGAGCTGTCAACGGGTATCTGCATATAAGCAAATACTTTTCCTTTACAATAATAGCAATATTCCTTAGAGGGATGAGAGCTGCTGAAATGCCTCTTTATCTCAGAATGGTTTCCAACAAAATCCAAATTACAGATTTCACAGTGTACTTGGATTTGTCGAAATCTTCCATGCACAGAGTCTGTAACAACTCTACCAACATTGCTGTTATTGTTGCTATTGTTAGGTATATCTTCCGATGACATTTTATTTCTGTAACAAACAAATTGTTACTATAATGCAAGATCAGATCAAACTTTACAGTATTAAACTTTAAAATAATTACATTATAAAAAAGACTGCATACAAACAATGTTTGAGTGCAGAATGAGAAGAATTGTTTATGTAATTTAAAATATTATGTTTGCACATTATAATACAATATAGAATATAAACTATATTTAAATCATGGAAGAATAGATTGAGGTACTCAAATTGTTTGAAACTGACATAGGGGTTAGAAAATTATATTATAACCTATATGTACTACTTACGTATGGATGTAGAAGTTATTGCTGCAATGGCAGTGTCCGTTTTTTCCAATTGTACAGACTCCTTCTAATGTCAGTTACAATAAAGCATTCTCGTTTCTGCGTTCATTTTATACCTGTTATCACAAATTTTTTTAAGAGAGTACAAAACATTGTATAAACTACTATTTCAGAATCATTAAATAAAGCAAACAGTATGATTAGAGTTTGATTCATTTTATTCTACTTCTATTAGTTTCCTTATCACCTGATGACTAACATTTACTAATGCAATAGGAGGTAAAATAATAAGTATAAAATTAATTAAAAATTATCATGTATTTCCTTATAGTCAAGTAATTACATTACATTTACTTAAAGTATAAACGTAAAATTACATGTGCTTATATAGGTTTTATTTTGAAGTGCAGACCTATAAGGGAAAGTACTAAGCATTTTAAGTCCTGTACCAAATAATAAAAGCAACGTAATCCTTCTGGATCGCGTGACTGATTAACATCCAACAGAGAACCAGTTTTTGAAGTGGTGAATGATATGTGTTCATCTCCAATTACAATCTCTAATTCTTGACGGCCAATTCGATCAGGTTGTGGCCACAAAGAATCGTCTTCTTGCATGATTTCTGAGTCCTGGATGATCCTTTTTAGTTCTTCCATTACACATTGATGTACATAAGCTTCTTTTCGAATCATAGTGTCATTCTTGTAATTTGAATTGTTTGCATATCGTAGTTTACCATCAGGTCTAAATTCAAACTCTAGAAACTCGTGACCAAATTTCCCTTTATGACCGATATAGTAACGTATATAGAAATCTGTTGACATTGTATGATCTTGGCCGAACCTTGGACTTGATTCAAAGATTCCTGAATGATGAAAGAATTAACTGAAAAAGATATAAATATTTCTGAAATCGAATCATCGATGCCGCGTCAAGTAGTGAGAGGTTATTCACATACCGTTATCTTACTTCTTTCAATACAGATATAATAAATACACTATTATTGACTTTATATGTATTCTATACTATATTACATACTTTCTTGATTATTTCAGGCTGAATTACATAGAATGTTTATTATACACGCCGATTTGTGTTTGTATTAGAATATAACTCCGTTAATTGTCAGTGATAATATAGACTATAGAGTTTCCTCTGTTATAGAGCCTTTGATGATGTTTGAACACTAAGGTGGTTCGCAAGTAATAAATTGATCACTTTAGGCTGGCTGCGACCAAATCTATCGAGTTATGTTCTTTATAATTATCAATTACAAGTTTTAGTGATTCTACTGTTTAATGAACAAATATTCAATAACATTATTTAATATATTCGAGTTCATACATAAGATTGTAGTTGAAAAAGTTTACGTAGATGGCGTTATAAGATTTTTTGACTAGTTTTTATGTACTTAAAAATTATGTATTAATTTAATAAGCAATTATTTATATCAACTAATGAAACAAACAATCTGATACAATTAGGAAAATACTGTATTTTAATCTCTATAGTATTTTTTGTATTCTCTAATCTATACCATTGACTATCTCGGCATGAAAAGGAACTCATATCGATTAATAATTCTTGAATTGGAATGCGGGTGAAGAATTACACTCTTATCTTTTATTATACTCTAAACGAGAAGTTGTAGATCATTTTCATTTTTATCTTATATGTAATCTATATTTTTAACGTTATGTATTCAATGATTTAATGACCAATCATTTTATTCGTCTCCTGACTTAGAAGTTTTGAAAAACATATGTGGTATGTTAGAGTAAAAATTGAAAGTAATATAACTACTATTTGAAAAAATATCGATTGGA